ATTCAACATTCGATAAACATCCGATTTTCAACATCAATATCAAAATATTGCGTGTTTAAAGAAATTTTAGCATTTTTCAAAGCATGTTCGTAAACATGATGATTTTACTAATCCAGTATTTCGGAAAGAAAATTTCAAATTTATTTTATTTTTCGCCCAAACACAGAATAACTGTAACTTGAAATTATATAACAATAGAAAAATGTTAGAAAATATTTTCATGATCGATTGAGAAATTAAGAAAATCATATAAATATTTATATGATATAAAAAACTCGTATTACAATCGTATTACAATCGTATTACATTCGGACAGTTATACTGTATAATCCAAATTATTACAACGCATTAGCGTACAATTTTTTAATAAAAATTAAAATTTTCTAAATGTTTCAAAAGAATTTTCCAAAGAGTTGAAGTAATTTTTGGAACATATTGATCACGACTTTAGCAAAAACTTATATAAAAAACAACAGCATTAAAAATATCAAAAATTGTAAAATTATCCCTCTTCTATTATTTTTAAAATAATATTTCTTACACTAAAACTATATTTCTCATACTAAATATTTCTTAAATAGTAATATTTTTTTCTATAAACACTTGAAAATTTTAAAATTCTTAAAGGAATATGAAAAATTTTAATAAATTTAATAAATTTTGATAAATTTTAAAAAAGTGAAACTAATTTCATAAAAATCTAGGATGTAAGAGATCATATAAATAATGTCATGTTTAACAATTATTAGTATTGCAAATATATAAATTAAACTTTGAAAATGTATTTTAAATGTAAATGAAAACCTTATTATTATGTCAATTCTAAATAGTCTCGTTACATCTATTGTAAATATTCATTGATATTTCATATACAAGCATATTTCATATTATATTATCATGTATTATTTTAACAATCATGACATTTTTATCTACACACTTCAACTATATCCATACATGCAGTTATATATCATAATGAGCATAGAGCATGCTATTACCAATTCGTATATTTGGAAAAAACAACTTCGATAAAATTTCAGGTACAATTTAACATTTCGGTTATTTCCGAAAAAAACTAAATTATGGTGTTGATTTAGACCAACCATGTATTATAAATATTAGAAACATTTAACTATATATTTGAGAAAAATCGCATTTTAACCTTGCTAAATGCTTATAGGTAATTATAATAACAGACATATTGCTCATTATCGATTATTATAAACAAATAAATAAGTATGTAATAGAAAAACGGAACTACTAAGACTGCAAATAAGAGCAAATAGTTGTCAACAACAGTGATAAAATTTATACTCAGTCTCACATATTATTGACAGAAAGATGAAACCAATTGTCAAAATGACATTCTGGATGACGTGTTTTTTATATATTGTCACGACGATAGATACTGCAAGAATTTTGGCCATTATTCCAATACCATCTTACAGTCATCAAATTCCTTATCGTACGATATGGACTACTCTGAGTCGACGAGGACACGAAGTCGTTCTTATAACATCAGATCCAATCGATGATCCTGGTTTGATCAATTTGACAGAAATCAATTTCCATTCCAATTATAAAATATTAAGAAAAATTGACTTCGTCGAAATGATGTCCCATTCATGGATGAGTACACAGTACACACAATTATGGGATCTATGTCTTGAAATATCAGAAAACATTTATAAACATCCAGAAATACGTAAGATGTATGAATTAGATAGTAATCAAAAATTCGACGTAGTAATAGCAGAAACTACACTAACACCCAGCTTGTACGCTTTAGCGTACAGATTTAATGCACCTCTTATAGGTAAGAATAACGACATGTACGAAATGGTTATCCTGTTCAATATTCATTTTACTTCGATAAAAATGTCGAAGTTAAAAAATATCGTAAATTTACTATTTTTTAACATCTATATTTCCATTTAAAGACAAATTTCATGCTAATACCTTATTAAAATAAATTTTATGCGTAAAAAGTTTATTGCATTACTTATATGTAATATATATAATTATTTATAGGTGTATCAACATTAAAATTGTATAATCATAATCATTTTCTACTTGGTGCACCTGTTCTATCATCACATATCTCTACTTGGGAAATGGAAGATGATACTGGTTTTAATCTTTCATTATGGCAAAGGATAAAAAATTTTATTCGTCAATGGTATCATATATATTGCGTTCTAAATCACTATTATCCTAAGCATCAGGCAATAGCTGAAAAATATCTTGGAAATGATATCCCGGACATAAGTGATATGGAAAGAAATATAAGTATTGTTTTGGAAAATCAGCAAGAAGTTCTCTCGTTTTCCAGGCCAAAAGCACCTAATGTTATATCATTTGGAAATCTTCATATTTCAAAAAAACTCATGGCCTTACCAAAAGTAATTGCTGTATTCAAAAAACGTATTAATGACATTTCATTATTTCAATTATTTTATATTATTTTCATTGTATCTAAAATTAATTTTTCTATTTATTGAAAAACGTTAAGATTTTCTCTTTTAAAATGTAACGAAATAGTTATTTTGTTTCAGGATTTGATGGAATTTATAACAAATGCGCCAAATGGATTCATTTATATGAGTTTAGGTACAAATGTCATGATGACATCATTTCCAAATAACATACAACAAATATTTCGTGATGTATTTGCAAATATGCCGTGCAAAGTTTTGTGGAAATATGAAGGTGAATTAATAAATAAACCTGACAATGTCTACATCGCTAAATGGTTTCCGCAGCAAAGTGTCCTTGGTAAATTTATGGAAGTATTGTAATTAAAGTTTATATTTATATATATTGTTTCACTTAACCATATATTTTTCTATATTTTTCATTTTGCAGCCCATTCAAACATTAAATTATTTATATACCAAGGTGGGCTTCAGAGTACAGAAGAAGCTATTTATTATAAAGTACCGGTCTTAGGATTACCAGTGCTAGCTGATCAGTATGCTCAACTTAATAGACTAGAATATCTTGGAATTGGAAAACATTTAAATATTATGAATATATCGAAAGGATATTTAAATGAGACTATAATGGACATGTTGAATAATAAAAGGTAATCATTTTTTACGCAAGTATTTTTATATAAGCTAATTGTCATGCAACATCTCGCGCTGACAAAATGTTTGTATAATTATGATCGAAATATAGTTGTAAAAATTATACTGCAAGTTTGCTTCTTCCAGAAAAATATTTTACTTTTTATCATGATTGTCTTATATAAGGTATAAATTTTTTTGTTTAGATATAAAAGAAAAATGCTTGAAATTAAAGCATTAAATGAAGACAAACCTTATGATCTTTTGGAACATATGATTTGGTGGATTGAGTTTGTCATTCGTCATAGAGGTGCCCTTCACCTTCATACTACTATTGCTGATGATCTTTGGTACAAGAAATATGATATGGATATTATAGCAATTCTATCTATTGTAATATTTATAATATTATTATCCGGAATAGTAATTATTTATAAATCGATAAAAATAATATATAATTTTAGAAAAATGTCGATTGTTAAAAAAAAAATTAATTAATTTTTTTATACGCACTTAATTATATTTCTTAATTATATATTTGATAATAAAATTAAAAATAATAGAAAACAATTGTTTAAGCACGCTCTCACACTTAATGTATATATTAACTTGATTAAATAAAGGATTTAAGTATTTTACAAATATTCTGAGAGTATGAAATAATAATTTGCCCCAAAACTAAAAAATTAAGAAGCATACATACGATGTATGTATGTATATATTATAAAAAATAAGACATAAAATGCATTAATAAATAACTTTCCAAGAAATAAAATTTACAAACATAACATTTTTTTGAAAGGTCTGAATAATATCTTAAGTATTTTATCAAAAAATAATATAATTATAAAGTTTATATAAAAATAAACAGCATAGTTCCAAAAAATTAAGCATTGATAAATTAAGCGCAATAAAAATGAATAAATAAATGTAATTAACTGATTAACAATCGTTTCTCTACAATTTAAAAATCCTAAAACTCTTTTAGAAAGAATATTCAAAATTCTAATAAATTTTCAAAATTTGGAACAAATGGAGTTAAATTTATTTAAATTTAGAACGCAGCAGGATATATAGGTAATGTTACATTTAATTTTCATGTTTGCCAATAAACGAACTAAAATTTTGAATATATAAATGCAAACATAATCACATCTTGAAAGTATACCATATAGTATATAGTATAAGTATAATCATATAGCATTTAAATATAACATACTTTACTTGCTATTTTTTACTACATATCTATCTTATAATATATTATCTATATGCATATATATTATCTTATGAAATTTTAATAAGCACAATTATTATCTATATGTATAATTCAAGAATCTATATACGCAGTAGCATATCATAAATCTTACTAATTTGCATTCGAAAAAAGTCAATTTTATATAATATGTCATTTCGCGTATCTATTTTTAAAAAAGACACGTGAAGTTAATTATTCGCATATAACGATGCGATGTTTATTATTGTCTCTTATCCGCGAAATAAAGCAGTATTAAACTTTTGGTTCTTTTGTTGCGCTCACTTCATGAGCGATTCTTATCACGGAGATCGTTTTGACAGTTGCATATCAAGTTAACAGTTGTGTGTCAAGGGGTTAATAATGTAACAGTATTATAATAATTTTCCATAAAATAATTGTTCCATCTTTAAGAAATAAATAGAGCTCACGCAGTGAGCATCTATGATTTCTAAAAATCATTGTTTTATGATATGTTGATCAATTCTTCTTAAAATTTAAATATAAAATACATTAACTAATAAATAATTATTTTCAAAGAGACAAAATTTTCGAAATTATAACATTTATCCGCAACTTTTGTGTAGCGATTTAAGAACTTTATTAAAATGTATTATAATTAAGAGAATTTTTTATATAGACATTTCTACCAATATGTTATGTACATTACAATTATAACTGTTCAACTAAGTTCATTAAAATTTTAAATAGATATTATATTCCAATATTAGATTCATAGTACAATTTTTATATCTCAATATTAAAAAAAAAAATTTTAATATTTTCAACTTACAGCAGTTTCATTTTTTTATAATATTAAAATAACATGCGAATATTTTTTTTAGTATTCTTTAAGAACAATATGGCATGCGTATGCTTAAGCCATTTTTATTTTAAAGTGATACCTTAAGATGCTAATATCTTTGTGATTAAGTTACAATATTTTAAGATTGTACTTAAAACAATCATACATATAAAAATCAACTGTGCCTTAGTGTAATAACTTTTTCATGAAATGATAATTTTGTACTAATATATGTAACATTAAGTCATAAAAAACTGTGTTTAGTTATATAACGTTTTTACATTATCGTCAAACTTATCTTTGATTTATCAAAATTACGCATATCTAATAATAAATATGTTTCTGCACGCAAGTTCTCACAATTTTAAGTATTTATATATTATGATTTAAGGAATGCATCCATCCGTTATTAATGAATCATTTATTTATTATATTAAGTATAGCAAAGAATCGTAATATCTAACTAAAAAGTGCATGATGATCTATTATTCGAGAAATTAGCGTAATTATTATTGATGTATGTAAATTTAATTAATTAATTTTGATTGACAAAAAAAAAGAAAAAATACAAAATAAAATAAAAAATACAAAGAGTGATTATCATTTATATTATAATTGATAATCAATCGAACTAAAATAAACTGTAAAATATTTTCAAGATTTGTGTCAGCTTTTGAAATATATTAAACATACATTAAGCAGATCTTTTCCAAAAATTTGTACAAACAGAATTGTAAAAATACAAGTTTTTTAACTTATTAAAAAATGTTATATACTTAATTTCTCTCTTCTAAGTCTTTTATATTGTGCTCTAAACAATACTTCGTCTACTTAAAAATAATAAAACTGTTTAGAAATTTTCAGAGTTCTGAAATAAATTCTCACAATTTTAAGCAAGTGACTAGCTTTATAGAATGTAGGACCCAGCAGGTTATGTAGATAACATTTAAGTTTAATCATAATTATCATCCTTGCTAATAATTAAACTAAAATTTTGAATATATAACTGCAAACATTATTCGCCTGTTCAAAGT